GTTTATATTCCAGGAACAATGTCTCTCTTTTGTGTTTCTTAGTATATATCTTCAGGCCAATTAAAGCTGCTCTTAAAAGCTCAGTCTTCCTGAGATGTATATGATCAGAGTTAGACATGATTTCCCTTTAATATCGTAACCATAGGACTGCACATCTTTTTTTTTTAAATGCTCTCATGCAGTAGAGTACAAGCACGGGGTCTTCATTAATTTGGATAATTTCCTCTCATAGGAAAGGATTTGTGTGTGTGTGTGTGTGTGAATGAGGGATTCAAAGTCATTTTTGCCTTCTAAACATTTGCTTAGGGTTTGTAGGTATATCCTAAATTTAATTTTGGGTCAAAATACTTCCTGAGCGTTTAAAAATGTATTTGTTTGTACCTTATCATTGATGTGCTAGTTAACCAATTTTTTTTTTTTAACAAAAATGTACACATGACACTTCACATGGTATCCAAGTCGGATGTTCAAATAGAAATTAATAAGGTCAAATTTGCCTTTAAAGTATTTAGTTAGGGACATCGGGTGTCATGAACTTAATTTTGAGTCATTTGCCCTTAAATATTGTAAATCCTAACTGCATGTGTCCTGCATCATAGACGCGCATTAATTTAAGTTAGTGGTCTCTTGTGGGTGCACACATGGCATTCAAGTGAATGCTTAGTTAAAAAAAAAAAAAAAATCTTCTCTAATATAACAGTCAGAAATTAAATTGAAAAAAAAAAAATCCTTCATGCATATATTTGGCGCATGTCAACCCGACTCAATTTTTTAAAAAAATTATTCTCTCCCCTCTCAATCTCGACGCGTTGCCTTCTTTACATTGTATCAATCCCAAAACCTAATTCAGATTTAAACAAGCACTTGCCCTCTCTCGCAAGAAAAATACGCTTCAATTGTTGGAATTGAGGGCAAATGCTTGTTGGGTATACATATGGATAAATACTGGCTTTGTAAAGGGACACGGCATAAAATACGTTCAATGATCTCCTCCTTATCACATCCAAATGAACAGGAGGAGGTTGTTGGAACATGATGTTCCTTCAAGGTATGATCCACAGGCAAAGAGTTATAAATTAGTTTCCATACCAGCAAAATATGTTTTCTAGGGCAATCAATCTTCCAAATGTCATGCTGCAAGGTTCTCAAAGAGAGATCCCTTCTTAACAGGAATTTAAAACCATCTTTGGCATTATAATTTCCTTAAGAAGTGCCAAAATGATTTTATCTGAACTACCGTGAAAGATAAAGGAATCTTCAAAATGGAATCCCTCATGTTTGGCAATGGGACATTTCTCTTCCTTGGCCACCACAACTGATGATCAAAAGGGATACTTTAACCAGAAACAATTTTTCAACTTAGCTTAGGCACAATTAAATCTGCACTATCCCTAATATCCTTCCAAAACCAGGACACATTATATGGAACCTTATATGTTTGCGACTTGTTTAGATCAAAGTATTTTTTTTTTTTCCGTAGTTTCAGCTAACAGTGAGTTTTCTCGAGAATCCAAGATTCTCAAAATTGCTTACCAAGAAGAGACATTTTCACTTGGTGAGTGGGTCTTATGCCAAGTCCGCCATCCTTTTGAGAAGTGAAGGCCGCATCTTTGTGAATGAAGTGCATTCTGTTCTTCCCCTCATTAAATTCCCAGAAGAAGTCAATGCAAAGCGAATCAATGATTTTACAGCATTTCAAGCGGAGTTTGAAGCCTGATAATTGATAAATATTTGAAGCTGACAGTATTGACTTGATCAATGTCAATCTTGATGCCTGCGACAGTAATCTACGTCTCCAAGAGAGCTTATTCTTTTCTGGACAGAATCCACAATTGCATGATAATGTGTTCTTTATTTTTTCCAGCATCTATCCATGTACCCACATATTTCCCAATCTTTTCATAAATATTCAACCCCAGATATTCCACTATGAGCTGCCCGTTGACTTTTGAGAGTTGATGATCTTCCCTGATAAACCACAGTACGAATCAATAAAATTTTTAACAGCTATGACACTTCCATTTGTGCATTTAAAGAAGAGAATTGAGTCATTTGCATATAGAAGATGCAAAATGGGTCGTGCCTCCTGACAAATTTTGATTCCTTCCCATCGCTGATGAGTAATTAAAGTAGGATAGAACATTAGTTGCCAAAAAATAGATATAGGGCGATAGTACGTGAATCACGTTGTCTTATGCACAAGTTTGGAACAAAGTGCTGGGATTGGCGTCTATTGTGCAAAATTTAATAAGTGACCGTAGAAATACAAGAGAGAATCATTTGAACCCATGAGTTAGGGTATTCCATCGACTTCAAAATGGCTTCAATGAAACGCCACGATAGGCGGTCAAAAGCCTTGGAAAAAAATCAATATACAAAGCTGCAAGATTCTTTCTGCCTTTCCTTGAAGTATGGATTATACATGTTCATATAACATCTCCAGCCAACAAAACATTATCTGTGATTAGTCTGCCCTTTAAAAAAGCACTCTGAAAAGGACTTATCAGCTTGGGGAGAACCTTTTTTAATCATTACAAATGGTTTTGGAAATAATCTTATATGTCACGTTTCTTAAACTTATAGGCATCAAGTCTTGGCTATTTATTGAGTACCAAAAAAAAAAAAGTTGTTGTCAAAATTTTCCTCTAGTAATAATAAATTGTTGCTATTAAATATGTTTTTCTTAAAAATAAAAATTTAAAAATAATTATAAATTATACTTAATAATTTTGCAAAAATATTTTTAAAAGTTTAAAAACAAATTAAATTTGAAAAATATAAAATTAAAAAATAAATTATATTAATTAAAAATTAATATAATTTGATTTTAAAACGTGTTAAATTAAATAAAATTATAAAATTATCAATTGAATTATTAAAAAAATGTTGGAATTATTTTTTAAGTTCATTCAAAAATATAATATATTATTAATTATTTTTTAAAATAAAATAATATAAACTTTATAAAAGTGTAGTATATGATTTTGTTAATTTAAAACACCAAATTTATTGCAACTCAACTAGCAATAAGGTAAGTATTAAAGATAGAACCTAAGGTCATGGGTTCTATTTTAAGGCATGGTTCATATGTAACAGGTGATGTGGCATGACGTGGATGTTGGTGGATGACATGGCCCAGACATGGGGTGGATTGGAAGGAATAAAATTTGATATTTAATATGTTATCTAATCTTTTCATGAAATTTCTCTCAAAATGTTTTTGAGAAGCTCTTTCAAATTATTTTGTGAGAAGCATTTTTTCTTAAATTATTTGGAGGGAAATTATTTCTCTCAAAACATTTCGAGAGAAAAAAAATTCCTGTGAATTTTAATTCGCTTAATTTTTTTTAAGAAAAAAAATTGAGAGAGATATCTTTTCATTTCGGTTTTTAATGTTCTCTCGCAAATAATTCTGAGAAAAGAAGACCTGATTGTTTGGACCTTAACATCCTTGGGAATGAGAGTGATAAAAGTCTTGTTGAGTGCTCTAAGGAGTTGACCCGAGTGCCAGAAAGATTTAACCCTTGAGAAAACATCAAATTTAACTAAATCCCAATGCCCCTGATAAAACCTGACATGATAACCATCAGGTCTGGGGCACTATCTTAAGATAAAATATAGGATTTTATCTAGCTAAACAGAGTTCAGTGACAACATTAGATCTTCAATACAAATGTGATAACCAAACATATTCTTATTATGTTAAACTGTATACGATATACCTTATATAGGCACATACAGAAGTTAGCCCTTAATTGGATGATCTACCTAAAACGTGATATATAAGCTCGTGTAAATGTTGGATACGCCAAAAGAAGAAAACATTGTGTGGACTAGAATCATTTCAACTTTATGATCCACTGGTCCAAATTCCAAGTTCTCTCCGTCAACGTTTAATTTGTTGATCAGTGTATATATTTTCTTAGGAACTAATTCGTTCTTTTCTTCCACGTCCAACTCACGCCTTTCAGCTTTGAATATCATATTCCAAGCACCATGAGAGAGAACGGAACATTGAACAAAACCACCAGAGAATTCACGGAAGGTTCCATGACTATTTTGCTCATGCCTATAGCGGATACCAAACATCGAATCATTAAACCAGTCGAAATCGATCCGCCCTTTAAAAAGACACATGCAAATGCAATGTATATAGTCTGTGCGTGTATTACATTACATTATATATTTTTTATTTGGATAAATTATAATATAATGTAATACATGATGACGATAAAAAATTCGTTCCATTTGATATTAAATTTTCCACAAAAAATGATGTTTTAATTAATATAAATAGTTATATAAATATAAATATATATGATCATTTATCATATTAATAAAAAATATTAAAAATATGTTTCAAAAAGTATCAAATCTAAAAATTTTGGAGAGGATAACATATGTGAGAAGTGTTTTAATTTTGGTTGTATTTGATAATTTTCAAGTATTAAAATTTAATGGTTGTGATGATTTAGACATTTATTGAATGGGTGGATTTAGGTCCCTGATCAAATCCAAATCTTATCCTTTATATATTCATTGAACAAGCCAACAAACATTCATCCCACACTTCCAATCATGGCATAAAAATAGGTGAAAAAAAAATTAAATATGATCAATGAAAGGAACTTATTCATCTTTTTCTTCTATTTATACTAAAATATGCATGTATACATGTACCATTTCATAGATGATGAAAAACTTTTTTAAACGAAAACTAGTGGAAATGTAGATAGTGAATTAAGTAAATTTATTTGTTGTGTGCCGATATAATCCGAATTCATGTACCAAAGGATGCTAACTAATTAGAAAAAAAATAATTAAACTATTTTTCTTTTGTGTCGATATAATTCGGTTTCATGTATCAAAGGTTATTTGTTTTGAATTCGCGGTCATTGTTTTCCTTATAAAGTTCAGCTGCTCTTGCGGGCGGATTGAAACGAGACTGGATAGCATTATTGTAATTAAGTCCAAACATAATGGGCAAAGTGGATTTTCATACCAAATCAAATCCTATTTAAACCCAAAACTGTTCGATTCTAATAACCGAATCCACTAAACCATGAAAGCCCTAATCCCTCTGATCTTCTCCCTGCTCCTTCTCGCAGCCACATTCCACCATCTCCCTCAGTCATCAGCCGCCGTCCCCGGCGACAGCGATTTCATCAGGTCAGCTTGCAACACCACCCTCTACGCTGACCTCTGCCACTCCTCCATCTCTCCCTACGCCAATGCCATCAAGCAAAACCCCAGTGCGCTGGCTCGCGTTGGCGTCGCTGTAGCTCACGCCGTGGTCCGTGGTGTAGCCACCGATGTCTCTGCTCTCTCCCGTGAAGCCAAAGGCAGAGCCGCCGGTGCTATCAACGATTGCATTTCCATCCTTGGGGACGCCGTAGATCAAATGAGTGAGTCACTCGGTCAGCTTCGACAGATAGCCGCCGGGAAAGGCGGTGATTTCAAGTTCGCCATAGACACGGTGCTGACGGAGATGAGCGCGGCACTGACGAATGAGGACACGTGTACAGACGAGTTCCAGGATGAACCGGAAGGTCCGGTGAAGAACAAGGTGGTGGATGGCGTGGCGAAGGCGAACAAGTTCACAAGCATTGCCTTAGCCTTTGTGAATTATTACGCTAAGAAAGGTTCGCCTTAAGATGTTGGATCGTCAATTCCAACGGCAAATTATTGCTTTAAGATTTATATTCTCTGATTGAATAAAAACTAGATTAGAAACTCAAATGTGAATGTGAATTGAATTCGGAATGCATTCCTCAAATGGTCTTCTAGTTTATACTTTCTTGATTTTATTTATTAATCATTTTCAATATGTTTCATAAAATTTTAAAAATTAAAAATTATTAAATATACATACTTTAATTAATAATATAATTTTTCTCTATAAATAGGGGATTAAAAAATTTAGTAATGTAACTTATAAATAGAATCATAAAATATTTTTTACTCTATCTTATAAATAGAATTGGAGAGAGTGAGTATGATACTTGCTATAGCTAGCTAGTTCCAAAATGAAAAAAAACTTATATATTTAATGTGTTTGTTTTTAATTAAATCAAGATATCTGTATCTATTATAGATTATTTATCCTTTAATAAATTCTTGTTATTAATACATGTCTTGATTTGATTGGATGAAAGTATATTAAATATATAAGGTAAGTATATAAGTCTTGCCCTTTCAAAGCTAGGGCTCTTTAGTATTTTATTTGAAATTAATCACTTTTTAATATTTTATTTTAATGTTGGTGGGTTTAAATTTTAAGAGATACTCAAAAATAACAACCGATCTTCACAGACTATAAGAACTATGAAAGTCTTGGAGTGAAGGGAAGATAAAATTCAATCCTTTAGCAGTTTAGTCTACTAATTTAATATCGAAGGGACAAATGTTCAAGGGCGTTTTCATTACTGCTGGTAGAAAAAAAAAAAAAAAACAGAGCGTTTTGGTTACTCTCTATTTTCCTTTCTTGAGTAGAGTCAAATGGAGGGTTGAGCACGTCAGGCAGAGTCAATCTTTTCCGTTCAATTTCTGCACTTATATGTTGAGTTTTCCCCCCCGATCACACGCGGGTCGACTCGGAGTTAATGTTAGAAAAATTAGATGATTCTCATTAAATAATATTATGAAATAGTCATTTTAGTTATTTAGTTCCAGATAACGATAATTGTCATTAATGAAGAGAATTAAATATACAATTAATTTTTTTAAGGTATTACAATTGCAACAGCAATCAATAATAAATCAATAATTTCAATATTAAAGATAGAGCACTAAATTCATCATGATCATATGTGGAAAAGTATGCAGGTTGAAGAGTACTGTTTCTTTGATCGGGACTTATTTCTTGGAACTTTGCCTATAAATGCTTTTTTTTTATTGCCAGTCTGTTTAAACATTTTCCTGACAAAATTATTGATGACTTGATATGGGTTTCTCCTGGTTATAGCTAGTTCATTTATAGTATTAGTAGAAAAAATTGAGTTGAATCTGTTTAGAATTGAAGTGATTAGTTTGGGACATACGTGGTTAAGGCAGTTGATCGCAGCCATGACAATAGATATCTGCATGCTTTGAATGAGATTTTGTGTGATATTCTTGACGTGCTAAGCAACTCTTTTGGGGTAGCTTTTGGTAGATATTCAACTTGTATCTCACTGGTTGAGGTGCTTGATAGGAAAAGAACACGTCCAGTCTGCTCAACTTTTGTGAACTCTTTGTGAATCTTGGTCATTGACAATCACCAAGCTTTTATTGCTTCCAGTGAAACCCAAAAACTCTTAACTAGGCTGCTATATGGATGCTGTACTAAAAAATAGCCTTTTTATGTCTCTTATTCATGTCAGTTATTTAAAATTCCATAGTATAAAAAAGGCAATGGTGTAATTGTATTTAAATGCAAAACTTTTTATGTCAGTTATGCCTAGAACTGACATAAAAGTCATAAACCACATTGGTTATTTGACAAACCGATGTGGTATGTCTCAAAAAAAAAAAAAAACATGTGGTTTTAATTTTCCATGTCGATTAAATAGAAAACCAACATGCTTTTGCTTTTAAAACCAACTCCTCGGACTCATGCTTCTAATTTCATTTTGGTTTTTGAAATTAGTTTTGCATCTCTCTCTCCAACAGACCCATAAACGATCGTTAAAGCTCCCACCTTTAATGTTACCCCTCGTCACCATTGAGTCCACCATCGAAGTCAAAGTCTATCGTCACCATGCCATTTCCACCTCCATCGATCATTCTACATTCTTCCGTTTAGGTTGATTTTCCCATTCAGCCGTCGGCATTGCCATTTAGGTATGGTTCTCTTCTTCTTCCTTTTCATTGTTGATTTCTTCATCATTTGTTCCTTTTAGTTGGAGTTGGAGTTCCAAGCTTCTTCAATTGTTGATTTTTTAGCATTTCTTCCTTCTTCCATCTACTTTCTTGTTAGGGTTTGTAATATCCTCCCTCACAAAACATGATTAACTCTAAATCTCCATAATTAAGAGATCGGCCCAAGGTATAAGACATATTTACCAAGTTCACAAATATGTTATAAAGATGGAATCCAAAGTTTTCAAAATGAAAACCATTTCAAAATGTTTCTTAATTGACAAATTAGAGTTAATAACTATGCGAAAGTATAAGATCATTTAAAGGATCAGTGCATTTGCTTATGAGTTAGAAAATAATGCAATTTTGTAATTTTCAGGAGCATACGTTGTAGCTTGTTGAACATATACCATGGCTCATTGCATAACACATTTTATGATAACAAAATTCTAATATCAATTTGACAGTTTTTGGGGCAAATTTCAATGAGTCCCATTTCTCCGTCCGACCTTTTATTAACACGAACTAGGTGTCTATGAAAAGCTTTTTTTGAGCTTTAACTAATGGTTTGGATTTCACAATAAAATTATTACTCATTCAAAAATTGAACACTCATTTCAAAACTTGCACTTTTTTATCACTTTTCACAAAACAAAGTGTCTAAAACACATCCCTCAAGCTAAGAGCCATAGACACCCCTCAAACCACATATAAGAGACTAAAACTAATTTGTGCAACACACCATATCATATAAAACACTAATAAATCATATTTTCAATACTCAACTCCTAAATCTCAAAAACAAGAGAGGGAGCTAAAATACCAATGATATCATACCATCCACAGCAATCACATGACATAATCAATTCTTGCTTGCACTAGTATTTTAACCTTACTATAGATATAATAAATCACTTACATGCACCCTAGGGCTCAAAATACACTTTACCCTTCACAAAACAAATGATGCAAATAAGTTTATAGAAATATTCCTAGTTGGCAATGTCAATCATCATATACACATAAATATTTGAAATGAAAGAGGCCTACTAATAGGATAACAATCCTATGCCTTGGGCTGTTTTCCTCTATCCGATCCTTTTGAGCTATTTTCTATAATATTAAAGATAATAAAATGAGTACAATCATTTAATAACTAAGATACAACTAACTCAAACCAGTGTATATTGATTAATTCTAAATGCAAATGGCAAGCTACAATTTAATTTTCACAACATGTAACACATTCAAGGACATAAATTCACATTTCTAAGCACAATAGCACATACTCATGAAATGATACCTTATAACAACTTCCACAGAGCAAAAGAATTAGTCATATGATTAATTGACATATTCTTATAAGGAATTAAAGCTAAATTCACCATTTTGATCATCAGGAATGTGATACAGAAAATTATGTGCCTTTTTCACTATACGCATGATCACACCTCTTTCATATTCTTTTTATTCCTTTGACATGAAACCGTGAGCTATAACACATTAGGATAGTCTATGATCTAGGGCTTCCCTAGCCTAAATGTGTGAGGGATTAACTGATCAAGGTTGTCCCTACTCACTTGTGAAACACAATTTCCCTTATCTTCTCACACCATGAAGTATCATTCTCCCTAAACTAACTTCCTCATTAAACCAGTGGATAGCTAGTTAGGTTCAAGTCTCTCATTAAACCAGTGGGACAGTCCCTTATTGAACAAGTGGGTTAATATATATATGTATATATCAATCCACACAACCCATCAACTTGGATGGAAGTCTTACCATGTAGATTTAATTCTCTACTCCTCTTTCTATGTGAACTCCTACCTTTCATGATCATGCAATACATATTTATGCAATAATTCATAGCGCACAAGCATTCACTACACGAGCATACACATCAACATCATTGTACCCATTTCAAACATGAAAATCATATCAAGATATGAAATTAAATCATTAAACTCCTCATATTCATTAAACTCTCGACTATGCTTTTCATTGAACTCCACAATTACCCATTCATTGAACTTTAAAATTTCTACTTCATTGGACTTTGAAATTTCTATTTCGTTGAACTATTCACAATCAAGTCATTGAACTTACACTTCTCAATTTCATTGAACTTCATTATCAAATTGTATCATTAAGCTCTAATTTAATCATTAAACTCACAATTCAGAATTTCATTGAATCTTACAAAGGAAACCAACATAGTGGAAGTTAGAATAATTCACACTACACTCTCACTTTATTCAAATTCACATATCTAAATTTTCAAACATCAATCAATAAATTAATTAACACACAAAAGTATAAAGTATAATTTCCATGATTACCTCAAACCTTTAAGAGGTCAAAGGTTTCACCTCTCAATTACTCAATCCCAAAGCTTTTAAAAAGCTTGAGTGGTGTCAAAATGATTACTTTATAATGAATCAAAAATTAATTCATCAATATCCAATTTTTGAGTAATTTCCACTATTAAGTCAACACTTCTTCACTCTCAAGATTTATTCTTTATCCATACAAAAATACCTGTAGCGTTTCTTGGCTTCCTCTAACTTGCATCAACATCATTGAACTCTTTTGTGGACATTAATGGAGTCACATTGTCCCAACCATCATATTTATGGTGAAATTTTGCTTATTAAATGCTCACCAACTATCAATCATTATAAAACAATAAATATTAGGTTCCATTAGCTTAAACTACTCTCATTAACTCTATTTAAGTTAATGAATTTAGACTCATAACCTTTATAGATTAAAAATCATCATTATTAACCAAATTCTAACTTTCATAATCAAGAAAAATGAAAGAAATAGGTGGATTTAAACTTGACAATTTTACCTTTAGTGTTTGAAAACTTCAAATTACTCTAAAGCTTCGAATCTCCCAAGCCCTAGCA